TTCAACATAATGCAAGACAACCATTGATATAGAAATGCAGGCAACCATAACTATCAAAGCTGTGAAAACCTTGCATCTTATTTGTAGCATTCCAGTCCTTTTTTCGATTGTACATGTCATGAACTTTTGCTTGCATTTTCTTCCCACCCATAGTGAAAAAAGATAGGAAATCAAGCGATTAAGCAAATTATTCACAACTCCCATTTTTGCCAAAATGCAAAAACTTGTTAACATCTTAGCAATCTTCATGTTGGGAACTAGGTCTCTGTATTCCGTTGGGGTAAGCGTAATTATCGTAAAGTATAGAGCATCTATAATATTGTATAAGTGAATTCCTTTCAATTTTCCCTTTGCAATTTATATTACTGTGTCAATTGCTACGTGTACTCAAAGAACGATGCTAGGCACCCACAACATAAAAGTCGGTGGCTTTTGAGGAGTTTCATCACTTCAGGAAACAATCATAGTTCTCCCAACCCCACTTCCACAAGCCAGATTTAGATTTTCTCCACCATTACTTCCTTGGCCTTTTGTTACCAAATCATCATTTCCCACATTTTCTGTAATTTCACATTCCTTTTGATGGCTAATCAATGCATTTCAACACCATCATCCTCACGACCACAACTAACTTGATTGCGCAAGCTCTCAATTTGAGCATTTTCAACTTCTCTGTTATGTGATTGTTGCCCAACTCTATGCCCTTCATCAACATCATTGCCACTACACTCTGTTATTCGATTTCTTCATCTTCCCACTTCTAACCGCGGTTTTGTCTTTACTGCCACAACCCTCTTGACTACGCAAGTTCTCATTTTCCATATTTTCAATATATGTGTCTAAGTTATTCCTAAAAATAATCAATTAAGCCAATAATGTCAGATGGAAGATAAAATAAGCCAAAAAGTTCTTATTTTCCATATTTTCACCTACTTTTAGCATTTTCTCTCACTCTTTCCTTTTCTTCTTCTCGCACTCGTTTTAGTTTTTTCAATCTCTCATTCTCCTTTATACATGTACATATGTCTGTCCAATCGTGAACTACAACTATAAACACAGTATTATTTTCTTACTTTTTTCAGTCTTTTCATTCTCTTAATCTTTTTAATATATGTGAATGTATTTATGCAAGTGTGAACTGCAACAATAAGCATATTATTATTGCCATTTTTTGCCTTTTCTCTCAATTTTTTCAGTCTTTTCTCTCTCTTAGTTTTCTTCAAACAAGTGCATGCATCCATGCAAGAGTTAATTACAACTATAAAGAGAGTATCTTTCTCCTATTAATTTTAGTCTTTTCATTATCTCATTCTTCATTCATGTTCATACACCCATGCAAGAATAAATTAGAACTATTAAAAGATTATCACTTCCCTAATCCTTTCAAGCTTTTCGCCCTCTTGTTCTTCTTCTCTCACTCCTTTCAGTCATTTTACTCTTCCATTCTTCTTCATGCATGTGTCCATGCAAGGGTGAATCTTCCTTGCACAGTATTGAAAGATTTGTCCATGTATTTTACTATTGACACAAATATAACGGAGACATAAAAACGGTCCATTCATATAAAAATGTAGGCAACCATAACTATCAAAGCTGTAAAAACCTTCCATCTTATTTGTAGCATTCTAATTTTTTTTTATTATACATGTCGTAAACTGTTGTCTTGCATTTTCTTCACACCTTTAGTGAAAAAATATAGAAAATCAAGCGATCAAGCAAATTTATTCACAACTCCCATACTTGCCAAAATGCAAAAACTTGTTAAGATCTTGGTAATCTTCATGTTGGGAACCAGGTCTCTGTATTCCGACAAGGTAAGCATCATTATTGTTAAGTATAGAGAATCTATAAACTTGTATGTGTGAATTCCTTTCAATTTTCCCTTTGCAATGTATATTATTGTGCCAATTGCTATATATACTCAAAGAACAATATTAGGCACCCACAGCGTAAAAGTAGGTGGCTTTTGAGGAGTTTCATCACTTCTTATCACCCTCATACTTCTCGCAACCCCGTTTCGACCAACCCGATTTAGATTTTCTCTACCATTACTTCCTTCACCATATGTTACCAAATCATTAGTTCCTATATTTTCTGTAATTTCACATTCCCGGCTAATCGATGCATTTCCTCACGACCACGACCAACTTGACTGTGCAACTCTCAATTAGAGTATTTTTAACTCTTTATTATGCGATCGTTGCTCAATCCTATGCCCACTGTCATCATCATTGTCACTACCACTTCGATTTCCTTTATCTTCCCATTTCCAAGAGTGGTTTCGTCTTTAATACCACCAACATCTTAACTACGCAGGATCTCATTTTCCACGTTTCCAATATTTATATCAAGTGATTCCTGAAAATAATCAATTAAGCCAAGATTGTCCGATTGAAGACAAAATAAACTAACAAGTTCTTATTTTTCACATTTCCACCTTCTTTCAACATTTTCACTCAGCCTTTCTTTTTCTTATTTTCGCACTTCTCTTACTCTTTTCATTCTCTCGTCCACCTTTATACATATGCATACATCCATGCAATGGTGAACTGCAACTATAAGCCCAATATCATTTTGTCACTTCTTTCTGTCTTTTCACTTTCTCATTCTTTTATTTCACTTTTTTCTTTTATTTTTTTATTAATGGAGATTTTTCGGATTGATTTTTGAGTTTGAATTACTAATCAAATTTTTATTTTCTTTATCTTATTAATAATGATTTTTTTATTTTTAAATTTAATGCACAAATCAAATCTTTATTTTTTTATATTAAACATTACAAATTTTGATTTAATTTTTGTATCGAATGATACACGATACTTATCGTATTGACTGATACAACCCCTTTTTTGATATGCCCCCTCGATATGTATTGCTGAGTAGGGGTGCTAAACAAGCCCGCCTTTGGCTCGGCTCGTGAAGGCCTGAGCTTACATGTTTAAAATTGATTATTGGACCTATGCTTGGACTTGTATAAAAGCTCGTTTAATAAAAAGGCCTCAGGCTCCAATTCAAAAGCTCGGCCTTAGAGCCTCTCAGGCTTGCCTAATATATTATTTATTTATTTATTTTTTATTTTTTATACTACTTGTGATAAAAAATAGATTTTTTATCCCAAGTCTATTTATACAGCTCGACCTTAGAGCCTCTCTATTCTCAATTCATTTCATCCCATTTTATTAATTAAATAGACTTTTTAAATGATTTTGTTTTACATTATGCTATTTGGATATACATTAAATTTATGAATATTTATGGAATTACTAGTGTTGTTGATTGTATATTTTGTTTGGATAAATTTTTGTTGTCTTTTTTTTTAAACAGGCTAAACAAGGCTTTTATTTTTTTGTAAATGAGTCAGGCCACAAGCTGATATTATATTCGTAACAGGTAACAGGTTAAGGCCAGTGTGACACATTTGAACACAGGCTCAGCCCGTTAAGATCAAAGCTCGGCTCGGCTCGTTAACACCCCTATTGCTGAGCTTGTGAATCTTATCATATCATATATCGTAATATACTGATAACTATACTTCGACATTATTTATGCGGGTAAATAATTGACCTTATAAATTTGACTATTTGAAGCCGAATTTTTGGCAAATTGAGCTTAATTTTAAGAACCATTGTTAGAATAAAATATTATGATGTAACCACTTGTAAATATTATGATAAATATAGTGGCATATCCTTTCAATTGGTGTAATTAGGGGGGTGCAAAAAACTGATTCACTTGCCCTGTCCTTGATCTGACCTTGACCTGACCCATAAATACCTATATTTTTTGAATTGGTTTAAATACTGACCTACTTTTATTTAGGTCAATTTTAGACCTGACTTATTTTAATATTAACCCATTGACCCAAAACTTGACCAATACTCATTATGTGAAAAAAAGAAAAAAATCACAATTACATTAAAAGAAAAGTTTTAACGTAAAACAATTACGTCAAAATTTTTTACGAAAAATATTTTCATAAAAAAATTTCACAATAATTTTTGACGAAAAATATGTTCATCAAAATTTGTGACTAAAAATATTTCTGTAAAAAAAATAGACGGAATATTTTTTTTGTCAAATTTTTTATTATTGTTTAAAATGAATAAATTTTATTGGTTTACTTATCTTTTATTACATTTTGTTTCTAAACAATCATATAGATATTATTTGAAATTGGTAAAGATAATCGTCAAAACAAATTTGATAAACTATTTTGAAATATCTACACATCTACTTAACTATTTTCCTATCAAGTTGTTGTTATGTTTTATTTTATTTATAATCATCTAATGCCATATGTCATATATACGTAAATTCATGTTTCTCTTGGTATAGTTGTGTCAGCAATTCACTCATCCTATTTTCAATATATTTTAATTTAAAAACTTAGAGTCAATTCAAATTTTACTTTCAAATAATGTGATTTTATTTAAATGATAAATCATGTCTTATCTCTTTATTTTAAAATTAAAATACTCAAATTTAAATTTATAAATGCCTCATTTCCGTCAGATTTATATTTCTTTATTTTGGTAGGGAACTTATATATATTATTTAAGATTATAGACGTAAGCATTTTTTTATTTAGTTGAAGAAAGTATCTTTGATGGAGTTCAAATATTATTTTTAATAAAATTAATAAATTAATGAATATTAAATAATTCATTATAGATAAATGACCACAAAAACAAAGTAGACTTAGTAATTCACATACAATTATTTTATATTAAATAATTCACATAAAATTATTTATTTATTTATTTTATACAAATTGATTTAATTTAAATTAGTTTGGTTTTCAAAACTAATTTAAAAAACCAATATACTTCAATTAAGTATGGGCTTTCTTATCAACCCAATTAGGTTGGCTCCGGAAGCCCATGCCTGGAACTAAGCTAAAACAAATAAACACATGAATTGTTGCCAAAAATAAAATAAATAAATAAATAAATAAACACGTGAAGATCATCATCGGTGTTTTTTTATTTGTGAAACGTAAACTTGAATTCAAAGTGAAGGGAGAGAACCAGGTTACAAAAACAAGGGTTTATTTATTTACTTGTTCTGTGATTTTTGCTTTGGTGAAAAAAGAAGAAAAAAAAGAAGCCATGGATGAAGATCAAATAGAAGGATGTGTGAGCGGGTACCTGAAGGAGAAAGGGTTTACGCGCCAAAAGGGTGAAGAACTTCAACGCACCAACAACAACACTGATTCTTCTCTCCAACCCGACACTGTCAATCGCACCCAGTATTTTCTTTTTCTCTCTCTCTATCTTTTTGTTTTTCTTTTCAATTTTGGAACATTTTCATATTTCGATTTTGTTAGCTTATACTGAGGCACGACCTTATATATATATGTGTGTGTAGAAAAATTCAAAAAAATTAAAAGAAGCATGTTTGATGGTGCCTTTTTCCTCACTAGAGTAATCCTCCCACACTTACACATTGCTTGATACTTTGGTTGGACGACCTAAGGGATTTCAATGTAAATGTATATTACATTTAATCATAAAACATGAAGGAATGGTCATCCTTTCACTTTGGTGAATGATCAGAAAAGGATTTAGTAGATTGTTTTTCCCAACATTTCTATGAATTCTGTTTAAATTAATTAAAAGGATGAAGCTCGCAGCTAGTTTGTTAGGCTTATATATATTTAGATTGTGCTTTTAAACCAGCAATGGTATCTGTTCTTGACATTTTGAGCATCTCACATGAAAACTATTGCCCAAATATGACTTTTAAAGCTGGGTTGTTTTCCTCCAAAAACATCTAGCAAGCATGTAAGCTGTTGAAGAGGAGGTTTATATGTTTTCTTAGTGTTAGAAATTAGAATATATGAGAGTATATAGGGTAGGGTATCGTGCATATAATGTAGAATCAATTGGGAGCCAAATTAGGATATGTATATCAGGGAATCATTGTGATTAATACTCATACTAATATATGTATAGAGACTATGTGTGGATTGTCGTAGACAGAATTTCATCATGATGAAACCACAATTTGTAATTAAAGGAAACGAACTCAGATTCAATTCAAATAGACAAATTCAATGGAACAGTTTCAGCAAGCAAACAATACAATGGCTGATACAGCTTTGAAGGGAAATTAAACTAAAACAGGAAATAGGACACCTAAGGGACTCCACAGTACCCTTCCCCACAATTCACCACTGAATTGAGTAAATTTTCACACACCCCCACTCTCACACCATTGCCTCACTTATATTCTTCTTTCACATTCTCTCTCCTCTAACAAACTCCTCACCCCCTATTCGTTATAACCAACTAAGATAAGTGCTCTTCAATATCAGCTCCTTCTGTATTAGTTACTTGCTCTTCATTAGCTACTTGCTCTTCAGTATTCACCCTTGGACCATCTTCTATTGGGCTTACCCTACCTGGCCCAATATTTCTCTCTACTTCTGCTTTATCCTTCTCATCTTGCTTTGCCTCTGCCTTTGATTCCTCTGTTGCCTTGTGTTGGTTTCTTCTCTCCCTTCTACTGTAAACATATTTCAGCTGCTCACCCATCATTTCTGGTTTACTCTCTAAACTTCAGGATGGTATTTGAGCGGATTTTGACCGTCTCTCCCAACGAAACCCTATCCCTACTGCACCCACTGCCCAATGGTCTCGACCTACTTGTTGTGCCTCAATACCAGTGAGCCCACTTTGCTACACCTTTTTCCGACAAGCCTGTGTTGTTTAATTTTCCGATGACCTGAAAACTTTTCTGATAGACCTCTCAACCCTTAAATTTGAAGCCCGTTGTCCAGGCTGTCTAGATCCCGGAATCCCACCACTGTTTTTCTCTCCACGCGCTGCCACACTCCTTCAGAAACTGCTTCATTTGCGCAAATGTGCCTTCACTAGCCCTTTGTCAAATAATGTGCCCGATAACTCACCACCTTCGCTTGTTGTTCCCTATACCATGGCTCCTATATAAGACAATCCTCTCATTTCTCTTAGAAAAGATAAATGATCTACTTTTAATTTTTGATCCGCTTTATGCTTTGTTTATTTATGATCGACTTTCTTCGTCACATTCCACCTTTGTTTCTAGTATTTTTTTTTTTGTCCATTCCTAAAACCATAGGCAAGACACTTTCCCACGCAGGATGGCGCCAAGTGATGGTGAGATGTCTTCCTTGCACTTTAATGATACACGAGTTTGTGATTGGTTATCGCTAGGTATTCACTGTTAAAGTTGATCCAGACAAATTTGTTGATTAGTTGAAGGCTTGTTTGGTCGCCAAAGTTAGGGGTGGCGATTCGAGTTGACACGACATAACACGAATTTAACACGAATATGACACGAATTGGAAAACGGGGGTCAAAACTTTCGACATGAACACGACCCTTTTATATTTGTCGATTGCACAACATGAATAACCTGCCAATCTCAAAGTGTGTGGCTTATTATGCGGGTTGACATGACACGATAAGAACAACACGATACGATGCGAATAACTTGCTAGATTAAAAAAATACTCCCCATTAAACCCCGACTAACGAGGGTAGGGGTGAGGACAATCCTTGTATGCAGCCTTTTTCTTGCATATTGCAAAGAGTTTGTTTGCCAGATTTGAATCAGTGACCTTTTAATCGTAAAGGAACAACTTTACCATTGCTCCAGGCTCGCCTTCTTAACCTGTAAGAAAATTAATGCTGGTAAATTTACTGTTTGCGACTTGACACGCAACATGACATAGATTTCTTCGTGTCAGTTTTTGCCAACAAGAACATAATACAAATTTGAAAACAGGTTGACTTGAATAAGAATTTTTTTGTGTCGTGTTGAAAATTGCCACTCGTAGCCAAAGGTTACACTCAAATCTTTGGTCTTATTTACGATGATATCTTCTCTCTGGTTGCTAAAATGGCCTTTGTTCGACTTTTCCTTTCTCTGGTTGTCATTGGCCTCTATATTAATTGGACAGCAAGAATGGATTTCTCCATTGTGATTTATAAGAGTAAGTTTATATGGAGCAACCACCTAACTTTGTTGCTTAGGAGGAGTTTGTGCTGGTGTGCAAACTCCACAGATCACTTTTTGGCTTGAAACTATCACTTCGGGCTTGGTTTATCCGCTTTAGTATAATTGTTCAAGAATTTGGTATGACTTGTAGTGAAGTTGATCATTTGTTTTATATTTGCATCAATCTCCTTAATAGTGCATCAATCTTGTTTATGTGGATGATGTTGTCATTATTAGTAGTGATTGAGTTGGCATTGAACAATTGAAACAACACTTTTTAAAACATTTTCAAACCAAGGATTAGAGTAAGCTTTGATATTTCTTAGGTATCAAGGTGGCATAGTATAAACATTGCATCTTTATCTTCCAGATAAAGTATGCTTGAGATATCTTGGAAGAAACTGGCATGCTTGGGTGCAGATATATTGGTTCATTTATATATCTAATATCAAACTTTACCAGAACAAGGGGATTCGTCAAATCTGGGTTGTTAGAAATTAAATTATGTGACAATAACGAGAGCATATATCTCCTTTGCTGTGAACGTGGTAAGCCAATTTGTTGACTCTTTGTGTGACTCTCACTATGATGCTATTGTTAGAATACTTTGGTACATCAAAGGAGCACTAAGGAGAGGCCTACTATATGAAGATCACGGGCATATGGAGATTTGTGGTTATGGCTCTCCTTCAAATAGACGTTCTACTTCATGCTATGGTATTTTTTGGGAGGAAATCTAATTTTGTGAAAAAATAAAAAACATAAAGAGGTTTCTAGATCTAGTGCTGAAGTTGAGTGCCAAGCAATAGGAATTGGGACTTGTGAACTCATTTAGTTAAAACAGTTGCTAAATAATTGAACATGTCTCCAATGAAACTATATGTGACAATCAGGATGCACTACATATGTCTCCAAATCACGTCTTTCATGAACGAACTAAGCCAATTGAGATTTATTGTTATTGTGTATACGAGAAAATTCACTCTAGGGAGATCACAACAACATTTGTAAAATTCAATAATTAACTTGCAGATATTTTCACATTCACCGAGGCTCTTAGAGGTCTTTGAGTCAACTATATATATGACAAGCTTGGTGCATATGATATATATGCACCAACTTAAGGGGGATTGTGATACGATCCTAGTCAGCAAACACACAACTAATGCCACGTCAGCTAAGAGTTTCCCAAATTACCCCGTAACAGAATGGAGAGCATGGAGGTGACTTGAAGTTAGTTATATACAGAGGGAAGGCAACATGGTGGGGCATCAGAAAAGTATATTGGAATTGGACTCTTGGGAGAGAGTGAAGCCTCTCCAATTGCTTCACCACTATCCTTTATTGTATTTCCTTTACTGTTATGCATTTCCAGTTTTGTAATTGTTCCTTTTCTTGTAATTTGTCTCTGTTTAATGTCACAGGATCTGTAATTGTATCTTGATTTCCATAAATATATGAAAAATCTGATTATTCAGGCCAAAAAGTCTTGGTTTCTCTGTTATTAGTTGATTGTTCCTTATTTTTCAGTAGAGGTCTGTATCAAATTGGTATCAGAGCTATCCGATCCGGTAGCTTTGAACCGCGCTGATAAATAAATAAATAAAAAAAAGAAGAAGAAGAAGAAGAAGGAGGAGGTGATTTCAAGATGATTCCGGTGTTTGATGGAGTGGAAGCATATAGATGGCAGATCCAAATGGAGCAATACTTCAAGATGAAAGGAACTCCAGAAATGAAGAAAATTTCAGAGGCTGCGAAGGGACTGAAAAGATATGATCGCGTTTGGTACCTGTTCTGGAGGGGGTCGAATTTGAAGGCAAGTTGGTGGGATTTCTCAAAGGCGATGCTAAAGGAATTTCAACCGGAATTTGATCCTGATTTATATCTTTGTGACGAAGAGAAAGACAGGGGCCATTTGAATTCAGAAATGGAGAGGGAAGGAAACTTGTTGATAGAAAAGAAAGAGACACCAAAACTGGAGAAGCAGAAAATCATGAACAAAAAGATTTGCTGGGAAGAAGATGATACAAGATCGGAAATGCATAAAAAATCAGTGTTGGAGAAGCACGAGAAAGTAGATGCAGAGCTTACGAACAAGGTTTTGGATGTGCAGTTGCCGGCAACAACACAGCCACCGGCGGTGGTTGTCAGCCTTCCACCATTGCCTGAACCAGCAAACACGAATCTTCAAGGAAAAGAGACGACTACAAAAGAGGAAGGCGAGCTGTTAGGGAAGGTGGTGTGTGAACCACCGAAGTCAGAAGCACTAGTAGAGGTGGAGTATCCACCGCCATTACCTAAACCGCCATACTTAAAGCTTCTTGTGAAGATGGACGTGTCTTTGTGTGGTGACCAAGGGAAGAAGACGAGAACAGCAAACTATTGGCATTTCAACCGAGGAAGAAGACGGCAGCCACAAACACACAAGACCCTAGATGAGGGAATTAGGTCAGAGGAGGGATTGGGTCAAATTAGAAAAGTGGCCCACACTATTAACATGTTATTTTCAGCCTAATCCGGAAGAAGTTTTAGAAGAAATTATGTTTTAGTGATAGATTGGGCTTGCACGCCCAATGACCCATTTGGGCTAAGGGGACTAAAAAGACATATTTCCTCTCAATGTAAAAGTTGGGCTGTGAAGGATGAAGTCACCAAAAGAAAGGGGGGGAGTAGACAACACTCTTCAGCGCCAGCCACCATCGACGAGCAAGGAGCACAGTTTGCGGACATTACCGACCCGATGATCTTCCTTGATACAACTATGTTTTGGAAAAAAAGGGGCCATGCTGCAGCTATATGCGCTGATTTCGTGAAGAGGATTTATTGCAGGGGGGCATGTTATCAAAAGCAAGCTCCAAGGTTCATTAATGGGTGCTTATCATCTCAACTCGACTTGCCTGAAGCTGTTACGAAGAAGGAATATACAACCAAGAAGCCATCAGCACTGCTGTTTTTTGCAGCTGATCTGTCCTCATACAGGTCTGTTTTTAAGCTTCACGTAGGTGTAAAGGAAGAGAATCGATTTATGGCTGCCAAATCGGTTTTCAAGTTTCATTCAATGATTGTCATTGCTGCCAAGGCACTTGCGGGTTCATCATTTTCAAATAATGTTCAATTGATTGGTAACTCAGCCGTTACTTGGCTCGAATATTTTTGCGAAAATGCTTCATTAATTGGTATGACTGCTGATTTCAGAGAAATTGAATGCCATCTCTGTGAGTCACAATGGTGGGTTAGGAGAATATTTTATTCTTTGAATTTTCAAGAGGGGAAAAGGTACCTTATGTTTAAGGAAGATGTATTCAACCATTTTTCTAAGTTTAGAAATCAAACAACAAGGCGTTCAGCATTGAGAGCTAATGTGGATAGGCGATGGGACCCTGGAGGTAGTCTCTGTGTTTTTGTCATAAGTTGTGGTTTACAATTTAAGCAATGGGATCCCGGTGGAAGGTGATTGGGGACTAAATATCACCTTGAGGACAAGGTGATTGTTAGGGGGGGAGTATTGATACGATCCTAGTCAGCAAACACACAACTAATGCCATGTCAGCTAAGAGTTTCCCAAATTACCCCGTAACAGAATGGAGAGCATGGAGGTGACTTGAAGTTAGTTATATACAGAGGGAAGGCAACATGGTGGGGCATCAGAAAAGTATATTGAAATTGGACTCTTGGGAGAGAGTGAAGCCTCTCCAATTGCTTCACCACTATCCTTTATTGTATTTCCTTTACTGTTATGCATTTCCAGTTTTGTAATTGTTCCTTTTCTTGTAATTTGTCTCTGTTTAATGTCACAGGATCTGTAATTGTATCTTGATTTCCATAAATATATGAAAAATCTGATTATTCAGGCCAAAAAGTCTTGGTTTCTCTGTTATTAGTTGATTGTTCCTTATTTTTCAGTAGAGGTCTGTATCAGATTGTTACAATGTTGTTCGAGTATCGTAAGTATTTATGGTAGGATATTGTGTATATACTGGAGAATCAATTAGGAGCTGGATTAGGCTTATGTATATCAGGGTTGAATCATTTTATTTCATACTCACCCTGATATATAGAGAAACTATGCGTGAGCTACCACAGACACAATTTCATCCTATCTGCTTTACTCTCTAAACTTCAAGTCTTAGAACATGGCCATCAACTTGCCTGAATCCTACCTTCCAGACTACTCTTCCAATGTGTGTCATTTCTGGACCATGATTATAGTGAATTAAAACCCTTTATTTTGCAGGTTGGAGAGAGGTTTTGCAAGATACCATGATGGGTATGGCAAGCTAAGATCATGGGCATACAGGTCACTAGACTTGTATAAGGTAACATGCCATACTTTCTTGTTTGAAGTGTATTTATGAAGTTGTTCTGTTTAAGTTTATGTGGTTATTACATGGTTTCCTACTTACTTGCAGCCTGAGTTGCTGCGTGTGCTTTATCCAGTATTTATCCATTGCTTCATGGATCTTGTGGCAAAAGGGTATCTTCATGAAGGTTTGAAATATACCTATACACGCACATTTAAGAATATTATTATTATTATTATTATTATTAAGAAATTTATTAGTATTATTATCATTAGTTTTAGATTGCAGGATTGCTAATGAAGCCATCAGTGCAACATGTGTTTTATGCTTCTATTTACATGATTCATGATTGTGATTGATATTCTCAGCTCGGACCTTTTTTAATTCCTTTCGTGAAGACCATGAAACGAAGCACTTACGAGACCTTCAAAAGTTGGAAGGAGTTCTTTCTCCTACTCATTTGGAGGTTTGTTGCTGTCTAGAATCTTACATCTCTTTTATGATTCTTGAAGTTGCTAGATAATTAGCATTATATAATCCTAATATATCGTTCTTACTCAGGAAATGGAATTCGCTCATTCCCTTAGGCAAAGCAAATTCATCTTAAAGATATGTGGGGTAATATCTTGATTCTCCTGGATTTGTTGGTCAGATATTCTATAATTTAATTTTTTGTTGCACTTCGGAGTTATTCAAATTAAATATTTCGTTCAACCAGTTTCAGAATCCACTAGAACTTTTGTGCCCAATGGCTTTCTTTTCTGTGTTTAACTATTATCTTGTGATTTTTTTAATTTGTATTGATGGTGCTTTACTCCTTGAAAGAATGCTTGGCTATTAGCATTTGATTTGCAGTTAGTTGGAAGTTTTTGTGACTATCTGCCTTTTTTATTGCTTATGAATCTAATTTGTTGAGTGTATATCCTGGATCATTCCTGCACATGATTCTGCGTGATAATTACCAATCCTCACACCAAACAGAAAGAACACGAAACAACTCTTAATCACCTCTCAGCAACCGACACACTACCACTCTCTAATTTCTTCTTTACCCTTACTCTACCCTGCTCTACTCCTTATTATTCTTCCCTAACAGAATTCTATTAGTCCTTTTACTCCGCGTGGCACCCTAAGGCTCCACTACGTCCCTTGCTACTCCACTATGTTTGTGCTTAGCCTTTCAAACATACGTCTTTGGTACCAAGAGTTTATCAATACCTCCTCCTTTAAGCTTCGCCTTGTCCCCATGGTGAAAATCAGCACAATGCTCATTGAAAGTCTCAAAGTCTTCCCAAGTGCTTCTGAAATCAGGCAGCCCATGTCACTTCATAAGCACCTCCAAATGTCCTCCAACATCTTCAGAACAAGATGTAGCTCTAAATCTTTGTGCAATATGGAGGTAAGGGTTGGGTTTGAACCTGGGAACCAACAAGCTTTTTTAGTTGGTGGGAGAGCCAAACGATGAGCAATTGCACCTATCTGCCCCTCAGTGGGATAAGGTCAATAAAATTGGGTCGTAGTTTTTCATTAGGACATCTTGCTGGATTTTAGAAACGACAAGGGGCTAGTTTGAGAAATACATGATCTCCAACTTGGAACTTAACCTCTCTACCTTCGTAATCAACAAAGGCACACATTCGGTCTTGCGCTTTAGTCAAATTGGACTTAAGCTCGCCCAAAATCTGATTGCACTCTTGAAAGGAGCTCTTAACATCAGCAACTCGAGACCCATCAGAAACTAATTGAAAAAGTGTGAGTGGCTCAGATCCATGCACTGATTGGAAGGGGTGAAGCCAATAGGACGTTGTACGACGTATTGTACTAGTACTCCACCTGTTGTAGCCAATTGATACAATCACAGGGTCACTGTGAGGAAAAACAAGATTCCAAACTTCGGTTAACCACATCAATTTGTTTGTCTGTCTACGGGTGGTAAGCACTACTGAAATGGAGCTTGGTACTGACTGTCTGCAACAATTCTGTCCAAAACAACCTGAGAAACACCCTGTCATCATGAGAGACAATGGCTTGAGGTTAACCACTATTAGAGAATAGTATAAACCATTAAAAAGCCTTCACCCACTAGCTTAAGCTTTTGGGTGAATTGGTTCTTTACATGGTATCAAAGCCTTGTATCCCGGATTCGATCCTCACCTCCCCCCATTTTTTTTTGTGGATTTTTCTTAGCACAAGTAGGTGGGCTTGTGCATTGTCCACTCTTCAAGCCCAATGGACTCTCGTGTGAGAGGGCGTGTTAGAGAATAGTATAAACCATTAAAAAGCCTTCACCCACTAGCTTAAGCTTTTGGATGAATTGGTTCTTTACAAACACGAAGCCGGGAGATCTGTTGATAGAACACGATAGCCACTTCTTTAGCGATATAGGGGTGAGTGAGAGGAATGAAATGGGCAACCTGTAGTAATGTTCATTGCACTATTATTGTTCATTGAACAAAACATCAATAGGTCTACATTGTTGTAGACTTGTAATGTTTGTGGATATTATATGCATTGAATATTGGTGTTACATTCTTTGGTAGATTTGTTACTCTTGTTCATTATCATAGTAAAGTCTTGTAATATTTGTGGAGACTATATGCATTGGATATTGATGTCACATTCTTTGGTAGATTTGTTACAGGTGTTCATTATCTCAGTAAAATATATTCACATGTTCAAATGTGAAACTTTATCATCAAATCTAACTTATTGATTGAGGGAATATTTCGGACATACCATAATTTCCACCCTAATCTCTGTTAGGCCGTTGTAGAGTGTAAAGAACCAATTCAACCCAAAAGCTTAAACTATTGGGTGAGAACTTTTTTATTGGTTTATACTTTATATTATATTTTAACACGCCCCCTCATACAAGAGCCCACTGGGCGTGAAGAGTGGATAATGCACAGGCCCACTTACCTGTGCTAAGAAACTTCATAAGACTTGATTAATTATTAATTAAATGGGGGCAGTGAGGATCGAACCCGTGACATAAGGTTCTGATACCATGTAAAGAACCAATTCAACCCCAAAGCTTAAACTGTTAGTTGATGACCTTTTCAATGGTTTATATTATACTCTAACATAGTGCTTTACTCTTACCATTGTGGCTTTGGCTTGTGTGAGGACATAAAGGAAGTAACATGCAGATGTGAATATTAGAACTTATATGATATAATTTAATCAATATCTGAATCCCATTATTGATCTACGGATTCTGTTAAATGGATTACTTTTTGGGTTTGATTTTTCTTTGACTTGACCAACATTGTCTTTGTTTGCACAGGTATTTGTTTTTTCAGAATTTTCATCTTTGAGGTCATTACATTCTTTATTGAATAGAGCTATACATAAAAAATCTGATAATATTTAATGTTTTGCTAGCATTCTTATGAGCTTCTGATGCAACATCTGCACAGTACGCAATCCACCACTATAATTGGTATTATCAATGAGCATATTAACTTCCAAGGTACTTTTCTTCTTTTTAAGTTGCATCTGTTCATTTGAACTTGTCAGTATTGCTTGTACATCATTATTGTTACACTGCAGTTACCACCGGACAACCTAGCTCAATTTCTGATGACCCAGAAGCTGTTACCCTCTCTGGAAGCATCCAGGATGCAGCCAACCTGATAAATCAAAAAGAAATGCTCTGGGGGGTGAGTCCATTAATATATTGAGAAAACTAGTCAATGTTCGATATTATCTTGCCCTTCTGTTTCTATTAATGTAATGCCAGTTTCGTACTTTTGCAAACTTTTGTCGTAATAAGAAGGGTATTCATAGCATGTAAAATATCTGAAACTTTCAAACTTCAAAATTTTCCCAAAATTTCTGCATTTTGGAGTTTTCGTGCCATGGCAAATTTATCATGAGAGGCCAATGTTGAGATAATCAAACCATGACTTGTTATCAGTCAATTGAACTGTGACATATGTTACATCCGTCCTTGTCATGCATCATCATTGTACTTGGAGAAGTTGGAGTGATTTCTGGAATATTAATTTTAAATTAACAGAATCTTTGATTGGGCCAGGCATAGAGCGTTGGCTTGTTGTCCAGCGTGGGAACCATGGCTTCTCCAAAATTTTTAAAACAAAACTTCGCTTTACTTTTTTGTCCTTTCTTCTTATAATGTGTTTGGCTTCCCAAAAAATCTAAATTTCTCTTAAAGGTCCTTTAACACACAGTCACACACACATATTGGCCCCATCACTATTTTTATTTCAGCTCCACTGCTGGGGCCAGGGCCTTGTGGTTCCTGTGTGGCTTGGACATCTAAATAAAAGCATTAAATAGAATGAGAAAATCACTAGTGTAATGAAGATTTTTTTTTTTTGGTTTACTAAATCATTTTACTTTTTAGATTTAAATTATTAATGACTTTTTGAATAATAATTTGATTTCAATCTCAATAATCTTTCTGCTACAGTTGCTTGACGACTTAGAAGACCGCATAGAGAAGGCAGGGGCCTTGCTTTCAGACACAGAAAAGGGTTTAGGGGAAGCCAAAGCAGGAGAGCATGATGAGAGTAAGGTACATCTGTTATTAAAGTGCATCTCTGACTCTATGTTTCATGAATGCTTCTGTTGGATAATCTGATACCATATGTTTCTCAGAATTTATGCCCTTGTGACAAAGTTGTGCATGAGTTTCATTAATACATTTCTATCACTTTAATACTGCAAATCCTTTGTCTGATCTTCAAAGGTTTTAAATGTTTTTTCACTCCTGTTTTTCACTTCTTTCTCCTTTAGAAAAGGTTGGTTGACGGAGGAAAGCAAGGTGGCTCAATAAAAAAGGTAAAAAAGGACAAGGCTGGAAATGCAACAGGAAAAAGTGCAAAACCTGAAGCTAACTCCATATCAGCACCACCTTGCGTTAAACCAGAACTCCCCTTACCCATAGGGTATTCTCTAATGTCTAAATTTTCATTTAATAGGCTTTGCATTTTCTATATAGGATGTAGATTAAATCAGAAGTCACTGTGCTATCTCTTTTTTGTTTTCAATAGTAATTGCATAGTCAAAGTTAGTCGCTCTACTCTATAATTTCTAAAGAGATTATACTCTAAAGTCATAGAAAAGCATTCCGTTGAAGATATATAGTTCTATTCCATTGAATGGTGTAATGTTGCATTCTTGCAGTTCAACTGAGCTAGATCTGTCTATCCTCGAAGATTTAAGGAATCGTGTACAATTGAGTAGTGTTTCCCTGCCTTCAGTTAACTTCTACACATTTACCAGTACACATAGTAGGTAATGTCTAATACTTGGGAGATCAAGTTGATTTCATGTTTGTGTTTCTGTTGCTTAATGCTTAGTTTTGGGTCAACTATCCCAGTTTAAACTGTTCATCAATATCCCATGATGGATCATTGGTTGCTGGAGGATTTTCTGACTCATCACTAAAGGTTCTTTCTCTTCACCCTTCTGCTTCCACCCCTACAGAAAAAAAACCCTCTTTCCTTTGGAGCTTTATCTTTCCAGATAGTATGAACTTGTGGTAATTTGTGACTTATATCCACAGGTTTGGGATATGGCAAAGCTTGAACAGCCCACCAGTTGTAAGTTTGTAGTTGAAAATTCTTTTGTTTAGACCAAGCTATGAGTATGACTATTGAATTCGTTGCTTGAAAAATGTGAATATGGTTAGAAACAATTTTAAAGCTTCAAAGATATTGTAGTTTGTCATCTATAACATGCTGCAGTGCCCTAAGTGAAACAACCCTTGCGAAATGCGGTGGGAAATATTTTATATATTATAAAAAAGAAAAATAAATAAATAAATAAAAAAGATAAGAAAAGAAAAAGATAAGGAATAAAATAAGAAAAAGGTTACAAAAATTTGCCTATAAATAAGAAGAAAGGCATCGGCAAATGTTGAAATAGAAGAGGATAGAGAAGAGAGTAGAGAGTGACACTGGAGAGAAATAGGAAAATAGAGAGAAAAGGGCACCCTAGGAAATTGAAAAGAAATGCTTAGTAGCAAATTAAGTTTCTTTTTAAGATTCTGCACCGATCGATAGTCTTGACTCCTATTTCAGCTTAGCACATATGTGAGTAGATGATGAGAATATAACAAGTCCAATTTTTTTTGTTATATTTGTTGCAATTATTCTTAATTAAATTATTTATGGAATAATAATGCAAATAAATATTTTCAATGTTATTTATTTAAATTGTTTTATTTAACTAAATTGCTTGAATTTATAATGGAAAATATAACAACCGTTATTTGGGAACATGTAAAAGTCGTGCTAAATCAATCGACAAAACTAATAACTTTTCAAATCTTAGGTTATACCCAAATCAATTTATATATAAAATAAAAATCAATACTTCATCAAAATAATATACATGTTCAAGTGGAGGTATACTCAAATAGAACTACAACATGCTTCCTGTTTGAGGATATAATAATCGCAATACCAACCTGAAAATATAATGATAACAATACTGACTCCCTGCCTAAAACTAAATCAACTGTAAAGAAATATAGAATTATAGAGCTGATTTTTCTGTTCAATGGTCTGAGTGAAATGCACCCAACAACATGCTCTTTATACACAAGGGATTAGTAAATACAAGTGATATTTACAAGATCACTTCATAGGTGATAGTACCTACTTCCCAGATGATTGTACCCACTAACATTTATTGTTAGAGCTTCACTATACATTAAGTATGACAATTTCCTATGCCACTAATGGTTCACTTCCCACACTCCCCCTCAAGGGCGACCTTTTCCCTTCTTGAGTATACCTTTCCTTTGCTGAATTTTCCATTTTCAAGTGTTGGAGGAGGGGACATGACAGATTTAGGCTCGGATATAGACTTATTTAGAGGAGAAGTGGATTTAGGTGAACGTGGTGGATGTCTTAAAGATGGATTTTCAGAACCTGAATTGGTGGGTGGATGTGGCTTATTTCTTTGAATAAGAGTTGTATCAAGGGTAGAGTAGTCTTCCTCCTTGTCTTCCTCGGTTAAGGTCTCCCCCTGAAGAGAAGGAGGATTATAATAGGCTGTTCCATCGTCGAAGGCGACATCAATGGACACACAGAACCTTTTGGTAGGGGGCGATAGCATTTATACCCTTTTTGAGTAGATGAATAGCCAAGGAAGTTGCATTTTAAGGCTCTTGGGTCCAATTTGCCTCTATTTTTAAAATGGTCATTAACATAACATACACACCCGGAAATGTGAGGGGAAAGGTTATTGGTAAGATTTACATGAGGGTAAAAGGAGGTTAGGACATCCACTGGGCTTTTGAGATCTAAGACTTTGGTTAGGAGAAGATTTATGGGGTATGTGGTTGTTAGGACTGCTTTCTACCAAAAATGTTTAGGAACTTTGGTTTGAAACAACAGGGTTAAATTTTTTTCCCCAAGAGATGGCCATTTTTCCGCTCTGCTATCCCGTTTTGTTGCGGGAAGAGATGCAAGATGATTCATGAATGATTCCCTCCTTTTGAAAGAAGGGAGAGAATAAGATTGAAGTATTTTTTGGGATTGTCCGTTTTGAATTTTTTGGTACTGGTCCCAATTTGGTTTTTGATCATTCGGTAAAAATTGAGCAAAATTGTACTTATTTTAGACTTGTGTTTCATCAGAGCAATCCAGGTTACTCTAGCGCAGTCATCAATAAAAGTTATGAACCACTTCACTCCAGAAACATTAGGGTTAGAGGGTGGCCTCCATATATCACTATGAACAAGATCAAAAGGCTTTAGGCTTCTTGTATTGCTGAATGGAAAAGTTACACGCTTGTGCTTGGCAAATTCACAAATTTCACAGTGAAAATCACTAAGTTTAATTTTTGAAAACAAGGAAGGAAAAATGCATTTGATGATTTGAAATGATGGATGTCCAAGGCGTTGATGATGGAGCCAAATCTGCTTGGTTTGATCAAAATTGATGAAGTTCTCATCTTGGTCACTTGTCAAAAAGGTTACTCCAGTGGTCTCAAGAAGGTAGAGGTCGTCTTATTCCTTAGCATACCCAATCCTCCTCCCCAAATTTTTCTCTTGCAAAATACAAGAATTTGGATCAAATAACGCATGGCAAGACAAGTCCATGGTTGGTTTCTTGATGGAAATTAAATTGGTAAATAATTTAGGTACGTGAAGGACAATTGAGGGGTAAGGTAAATGGTTCTAATTCCTGCTACTGTGAGAAAGGTACCTTTAGCAGTTACAATTTTCCTGCTACTGGGACAACTATTGGGACAGGGTGAATATTCAGAAAAATAGGATGAAAGGTGACTCATATGGTAAGTAGGTCCGGAATCAAGGATCCAAGAATTAGACAAAGAAGTTTCTGGGGCATTTAGACCTTGAGAATGAGACCTTACCTAAACATGCTAAAGAGAAACTACCTGTAGGTTTCTTAAGACTGTTAATGAGTGCCTTGAGTCGTCCAATTTCTTCCTAATTTAGGCCTTCAATGGGTGCAGGGTTTTCAGATATAGCAGTGTTATAGGTAGTGGTTTCATCATCATATGCCATATTTAGTTCAGTTTATGTGGTGAGGAAGGGAAAAAAAATATTATGGATTAAGGGATTTTTTTTCTTTAAAAGGAACAACAATTAAGGCTGTTATAGGAAAACAGAGAAAAATCTGGCAATGAAGGCCAGGAAACAGTCAGGGGGTTACAGCGGTAGCAGTCATGTTTGGTGCATAGTATAGGATAAGGCCTGATAGTATAAGACCTGATTGTATAAGACCTGATTAAATTTTAATACTATTCAGCGTTTGGTATGGTATTGTATAAGATAATATCCTCCAATATTTTAAAAATTAATATATTAAAAAAATTATACTATACGATGGTCACACTAAACAACTGAAAATGTCATAATGTATAGTATAAGCTTATACTATCAAGCCTTATACATCACACCAAACAAGCCCTTAGTCCTTTAAACACGATTAAGTATATAACATAACTTTTTATTTATAAAACCAAGATAAAGAATTCAATTAGAAAGAATCATAATAAAAGTTAAAATTAAATTTGGACTTGATATAGTCCACATACCTAGAGATTAAATAAACAATTTTTATAAATAATTAATAAAGCAATTCAAGCAAATTATTTAAACAAATAAATTTAAATAATGAAAATATTTATTTGCATAACTATTCTGAAATAAAAGAATTTAATTAACAATAATTATAACGATTTGAGTGAAAAGATTCTGGATTTGTTATATTTCTCATTATCTACTTATATGTGCTATGTCGAAATAGGAGTTAATACTATCAATCAGTGCTAAATTTTAAATAGATGCTTAACTTGTTACTGAGAACTTTCTTTCAATCTTCTAGCCCTCTCTCTATTTTCCCTTTTCTCTCCTTTTTCACTCTACTCTTTTATCTTTCCACTTTTGCTTCAACATCTGCTGATATCTTTCTTCTTATTTATAGGCCCTCGTAGGTTGCTTTTCTAATCTTATCATTTTCTTTATTATTATTTAAAATATTTCCCCTTGCATTTTGTGGGTGTTTCCTTTATAAAATTCACTCTGGACAAAGCTTCGTATATATTAATGCATGCTGAATATTCATTTGTATAGCTTCTTGATGAGAACACATGAAATTTTCACTATCCCATATATAAAGAAAGTTATGCGCAATGCCTCTCCTTTTAGTGAGAGTTATTACACTGGATGATAACTTAGCCCATTCTTAGTGCATTCTCTTTTCGACTTTTAACTTAAAGAATCAATAGGAAAAAAAAAACTTAGGTGTAAGAATGTGAAGTAAAGCAGTATGGACACTCTATTCCCCCCCTCCCCCCCGTAATAGCCTTTCAATGGAAATATTCTTCAAAAAAGTTTGGGGATTGATCAGTTCTCTCTGAGTCTTTTTTTTTCTTTGCTGTACAATGGATCTTAAATATCATTTGGAAGAGTGGTGTCATTTTGATTTGTATACAATGACTGGTGCTTCAATGATACGATGGTCTTCCATCTTCATCACCCTTGCCTATATGCATACTAAATTGGCTTCTTAAGCTCAAAAACCATGTCTCGCCTCACTATAACATCAGGAGTTCTCACAAAAAATATGACTCTTGAGTTGAAAAACCAAAATTAAGGTTCTATTTAGTGAAGGTTCGATTGGTTGAAGGTAGCTTGTAGTCTTGAACAAGTTTTGAGCAATTTAATGAGCTCAAATATGAGTTTTATACTTTTATGTTTTATTTGCTGTAATAGTTGAGTTGTTGCTGTCATCAGCTTTTTCACAGGGATGGAATGATACATCACAAAATGAACAAATTCTTGGGCGAAATGGCAGAAAAAGGCAGTACACATTGTTTCAAGGTCATTCAGGGCCGGTCTATGCAACCACTTTTAGTCCTTTTGGGGATTTTATTCTTTCCTCTTCAGCAGACAAAACGAGTATGTTTACTTCACTCGGTTTGAATGTTCTTCCTAATTTTGTTTCTTCACTTTTGATACTATCTTATTTATTTTTTCACTCCTATATATTTTGTTGTATTTTTAATTCCGAGTCTTATTCTGAACCATGACTCTTACATGGATTTTGCAGTTCGACTATGGAGTACAAAGCTTAATACCAATCTTGTATGTTACCAGGGTCACAATTACCCTGTCTGGGATGTTCAGGTAAAACTTTTCCTACTGAATTTTTCTAACTCTTTTAGATTTCCCTATGTATTCTGATGACAAATGTAGAACAACAAACCAGCTATTTGAAGGGTAATTTTAAATTTAAACATTTGAACGTGATGCCTACATTTTTTATTACTTTAATCAAATATATCATATACATGTATATGCAAGTCAGTTCTAGCCATGCAACTAACTATGTTCTTGTATCTTGATTTTTCTTTTCCTTGCAAGTTTATTATGGTTTGAATGATGTATTATACTTTCTTCTCCATTATCTTCCTTTCTCTTTCTGTAGTTTAGTAGCTTTCGACTGTTGCTATTCTTAGTATGCAGTGTGATTCTCTGAGAAATGGACACCTTTCATCTTTGTTCAATACAATATGAAAGTATATGATATTGTAAAAATGTAATAATCTAGAAACAAAGAATTCTTTTCACATTCATCAATCTTCTATTGTGCTTATATATACTTAGAAAGTTAGAAGTACGTATATCTTTGGGACTTTGTTCTCTCAAGTCTCAATTGCTGCAGTTCACAAAGATTTGATATCTTCTCTACCAAAGGATATTTTGTTTCTTTCCTTTCCTATATTTTTTTAAACATCTTTTTAGCCTTGGGGCATTTGTTGTCCGCATGTACATTGTAGAATGCTATACCATTTATTTGTTTTTCTGGTGCAGTTTAGTCCTGCAGGGCATTTTTTTGCCAGCTCTTCACATGATAGAACAGCTAGGATTTGGTCCATGGACAGAATTCAGCCTTTAAGAATAATGGCAGGGCACTTGTCGGATGTTGATGTGAGTTTTATAGTCAAATATCCTTTATCTGTTCTGCTTGTTCTAATTTTCTCCAGATTTTATATCATCTACTAGGGATGTGCATGGCTACCTACCATTATGATCTTTGATCCTATTTCTGGAGAGAAATATTTTTTTATTTCCGTGCTTTGAAAGAGTTTTGGGTAAAAATATTTGATAACACAATTTATTTCTATTCCAATGAGAGAGAATATGTATTTAATAAATAGTGCGTATTTAATCTCGATAACACATTTTACTATGTCTGCATTTAATAGTGTGCCAAGGAACTAAAAAGCAAAAAAAGTTGTTTATTATTTGTTTGTGTTATTCGGCTACCGGTTCATTCTTTGGAATAGAAAAATAAACCAGTTTTATCAAATACTATTTCTAATATTTCTATTCCCCGGACTAAAAAAGAAATTTTTTGGGAACTTTGTCATACACACCCCAGTTCATTAAAGTGTTTAATTTACTCATTAATTGCTCCATAAATTCATATACTACTTACTAGTAATTTGATTCTGGATACTTCAATTAATTCACGATGCAGTGGATTTTTTTAAAGCAAAGCACCTTATCCCCGAAGGTCAAATAGGATGCTATACTAAAACAAAGTCTGAAGTGAGTTTGTCCATCCTGTTGAGAATTAAGGGTATGTTTGGTGCACTGTATAGTATATGGTGCACTGTATAGTATAAGGTTTGATAGTATAAGTGTATTATGCGCGGGATTAGTGTGTGGACTGTGGAGGGGGTACTTATGTCCTCTACACTATATTTTACCACTAGCTTAATTCAGTTCACCTAAATTCTGAAAGTCTGCAATTATTGCAATTGTATTTTATTTGGTTTTGTGCAATTAATCGGAGGTGCTCTTATTGAATATAGTTTACTGGTGTTGTCTTACTCTAAAACTGAAGAAAATGGTTTCCAGTTGATTCTACGAATATTTTTTCCTTTGATTGATCCAGTAGAAAGTCTTCTCTGTTATCACTTTTGGTTTAAGCACGAAAGCAAAGTTCCGCTCTTCCCAGTTAATCTTTCGAGAATTCCTTTTCTCACCAAGTGGAACTCAATTTTATGTTTAGTACTTCAACAACGTTGTTGTCAAGTCTGAATATTTTCAGTTCTTCAATCTTTATTATGCTATGTTTACCCTTTCTTCTTTCTTGTTTAGTGTGTGCAGTGGCATGCCAACTGCAACTACATTGCTACTGGCTCTAGCGACAAAACAGTTCGGTTATGGGACGTGCAGAGTGGGGAGTGTGTTCGGGTTTTCATTGGTCACAGGAGTATGATTTTGTCTTTGGCAATGTCTCCGGATGGTCGCTATATGGCATCTGGTGATGAAGATGGCACAATCATGATGTGGGATCTCTCTAGTGGATGCTGTGTCACACCTTTGATTGGTCACACCTCATGTGTCTGGACACTCGGTTTCAGGTGATCCCCACGACCCCAATCAATATATTTCAACTTGATCATATTTAGGAAGGAAATCAATGTATTTTAAGCTTTCTATCAACCTCTTAACACTGCTATTACTATTCATTATTGTTGGATGCATCAGTTGCGAAGGTTCTCTTCTAGCTTCTGGATCCGCTGATTGCACTGTAAAATTCTGGGATGTAACTACGGGTACAAAAGTTCCAAGGAACGAAGAAAAGTGAGTAGTTTGTCTGATATGAAAAGATATAATTGTCTCTTCAGGAAATTTTTTGGTACGGAAACACTAACAGCATGTATTATTTACCTCATTAGTAGGAGTGGGAATACTAACAGACTCAGATCATTGAAAAATCTGCCAACCAAATCTACTCCAGTTTACTCTTTGCAGGTAAGTTCTCTAATTCTTTTTTCTTGGTTTCATTTTATCCATTTCTAATCTTAACATAATGTTATGAGGATTTATTAAATATGTAATTTTGTATTATGTTCTGGAGCAGTTTTCTCGAAGGAATCTTCTTTTTGCAGCTGGAGCTCTTGCATAATGTGGCTGGTAAACAAATACCAGATCCAAGTGACAATTCCAAGACCTAAAAAACTAAGAGAATGGTTATATTTACAAATTAAATTGTATACAAACTCTTACAACAAAATTTAACTCTTGATTTTCGTCAATTTAACAGATAATTTATCGAGTTACACTTATTAATTTTCAATAAATTATAACCGTTAGATTGACAAAAATCAATGGTTAATATTGAGTTGTAAGAGTTTGTAAATAATTTAGTTTGTAAATATAACCCTTTCCAAAAATTAATGTTGAGCTGCTCCCATGATGTCTAACTTGTACAGTTTTTTTCCTTTTTTTTTCTTTTGTAAATTTATTTAAAGTTATTTGAATTGAAATATTCTGGCAGCAAGTTTTGCTCATCTAAGCGTTGTGTTTTTTCTACCCTTCAATGTGCGTAATTTACTGCAAAATTACGCACAGAACTGAAGAATTACTTTCTTTTTATTCTTGCTTCATTGTCACTTTGCTTCTTCTCCATACATGTTTATTATTTTTCATTGAATTTCCTACTTACTAATTTTTTTTACACTGTGAGAAGTGAGCCTAGCAAACTAAATGATATAATTAAAGGGTTTGTCGGATATCCTGTTATAGGATATTTTTTTTGTACAACTTATTTTTAACATAGTTATATAATATTAAAGTTATTTTTTTCTTCTTCTACTCATAAAAAAACTAACTTTAATATTATAATTATATATTTCTCGGTGTACATACTTAAAAACGGGTTGTAGGAATGAGAATAACACAATACTTATATTTTCCATAATTAAATAAGTCTTATCCTAAATATTAAATTTTATTTGAATTATTAAGGTATATGTTTCTATTTTAACTTTTTTGACTTGTGCTGTAAAAGTAGGTTAACAAAACTAAAATCAATCATAAGAAAAATTATTAGCTACCATATACAAAAATAAAAATTATTAGCTACTTTACACAAACAAAACATTACTTTCGGGTAAGTAGAGTTGAGAAAAAAACCTTAAAAAATTGAATCACTTTATATAAAAATAACTCTAGAAGCAAATTAATTAATTTAAATTAGTTCTAGAATGAAAAGAATTTAATTGCTAAAATCAATTCAATTTTTTGGACTAAATCGTTAAAATTGGTTCATTTCGATATAACATAAATAACTGAATTGAACTATGTACCCCAATACGTGTGAGATGTCCGAGATCTATAAATCCATTATGACGCACATGAGCTAACGATAACCACATGCGATCCTTTGTAGGAGCAAACTTATTGTGGGCCGGGACTTAAAAAAAATTACGTGGGACTGAGGTGAGAGAAAGAGAGAAAAAGTTGAGGAGAGAGGAGAGAGGAGAGAGAAAAGAAAAATAAATAAATTTAATACAGGTATCAATTTTTGAGTGGAAAGACCACGGTGGTCCCGGAACATATTAAAAAATTCCCCTTTGTAGAGCCATTGGATAAAGAAGAGCCCTTTTATTGTACCAGCAGCATGTTGTAATTGGTGTCATATTCTCAAAATTCTTTATCTAAAAGACGCAAACACATACAATTCGTCACCACCCCTATGTCACGCAAGCAGGGAGATCATCATTAATGAGCTAATTTACAACAACCGTAACAAGTGGGTTCAATACCATATCTCAACCCAAAGCCTTATATCCATTTGCTATGATTGGAGTAGCTTAACATATTGGTGGTGGTCTCCCATCATGGAGTCCCCTAGCTCGCCTAACAGTGGTATTAGAGTCGAGATGAGCTCAAGTTAGATAAGTGTTTGGCCGAAGACGCCTTGAGTACTTCAATCTGAAATTCTGAACTACTAGGGGGAGCATACTAATGTGTGGTTTCATACTTGAGGAGAAAATTGTTGGGATATTCAAATATGATAGAGTCCTATATTGGTTGATAATAGGCTAAACGAAGTCCATATATAAGTAGAAAAATCCATGAAACCAATGGTTGAAGGTTTTGAGTTGAAGTGTAGAGTTGAATCCACTTGTTATGGTTGTTGTAGCTTAACCTATTGGTAGTCCCTCTCCATGGACTCTCCCGATCCACCTGACAGTGGTATCACAGCCGGGTTAGGCTCGAGCTAGTAAGATGTTTTGGCTTGTGGCAGATCGAGTACATGGGCCTCGGGTACTCGAAGAGAGTGAAAGTATAACAATGTGAGTTTCACACTTGATAGAGAGATTGTTGAGATATTCCAGTGTAATAGAGTCGCATATTGATTGATAATGAGTTAAGTAAAATTCACATAAGTGGGAGGACCTATGAATTAAATGCCTTAGAATTTTGGATTGAGGCATGCTGTTGGACTCACTTGCTACAGTTGGACTAACTTAACTCGTTAGTGGTGGTCCCTGCCACTTGCTCCCCCTGGCCTACAACCCGCCTTTGTGAAAATGCAGGAATAATATATGGATCCAACATCATATCTCAATCCAAGATAAGGATGCCGTCAGATTACCATTAAGTATTGGAATCCCATTTTCCATGTGGAAACGTTAGTTACATCGTACTACATTGTTGTAAAGACAAACGAAGTGATTGCTTTGTTTGAGGTGTTGAGTAAGCGTGTTTCATTAAGGGATACATACTGAACTAAACAGAAAAAGAAAATTGAAAGAACCAAATCTTGTGCATCGTGACGTGGTGCTAGTCTTAAAAGCCACCTTATTAGTACTGTGCTTTAATGAATAACCGATTTTGGAAAAAACATTATGGATAACAACCCAATAATATATGGGAAATGATACTCTCATGCTACATAAGATACCTATCTCATGTCATAGACCCATAGAATTTTGTGCTAATTTTTTTTCTTTTTTTATTTTTTTAAATTGTGGACCCCACATATTTGTATCACTCACATCACATGAGAGTACTATCTCATGTAACATGAGATTAGTAAACCCCATAATATATTACAGTAGTACCAAAATTCATTTTGTCGTTGTCCGAGTAATTCCACACCTATTCGAGGTATAGAAGCTCCTCCTCAAGAATACCAAACATACCACCAAATATACAAAAATATAACTAACATCTTGACATAACAATTGTCACCTTTAATTAATAAGTAACCTAGTAGTGCGTTAGTATTACGAGGTTTAAATAATTTAAAACAAGCTATAAGTCCAAACCTACAAACAATACCTTAACACTTGTACTCAATAATGGCATAGATAATACACTTCCTCAACATGAGGACAGGAATTGTTCCAACTTTAAGTAACAACCACATATTCCTCAATCTTCATAAAACGACACCCTCAAATATGGCTCCCGGAGTTGGACTTCAAATGGAGCGTTTAAAAGTCTTATAGTATAAGCATTTGTAGATCCAAGCTTCTAGTGAGGGACAGCACAATTTGTCCCATCATGAAAAAATCCATTTTAAACGGCCGAAACCCAAAACTTCTGTACACCACAAACAAACAACAATGAGAAAGCCTTATTTTTTTCAAATTACTTTAAAAAAACAAATGACATGCTATAAAGGAAGAAGGTAACTAGGTAAGAGTTACTCACGTAATAAACAAGTGAACATGACATATCATTTATTTCTTTCAAGATCTAGCAAAAAAGGTTAAAAGTTTCCATAAACCTAAAGCAAAGTAAGCAGCACGGGTCCTTTTTTTTTTTTTGGAAACTGATCCTAATTACTTCTTTGAGGCGAATCAGAACTCCCGGTATCTCCACGGGTTTGACTCTTTGAGCCACCTATAGGACTAATCCAGAGTTCGGGTCCTTTGATTTGTCACTCTCAGCCTTTTCTTTAGCATTTTTGATCAACAAGATATCTTATCTTGTACACCACAATGGCAATCCATCCTCATGAATGTCTTTGCTTCTCTTCTTGAACTAACTGAACAATAACACAGCCATAAATATAATAAAATTCACCAAAATATAACATTGTGCATGCAATAATTCTAATTTATTAAGGGACCAAAGCTTCAGCCGAAATCAGCATGGAGTAGATTGCTTAAGAGTTAAGACCCAAAAATAAAATAACACTCCAGATTAACCATAACTCTTTAGACATGATGCAAGTCCAGAACAAACTTATTAAAAAGTCCAATATAAATGTAACTCATTGTTGATGATTATGGCAGAGAAAAGATAAATGATAATAGCTTTAGAGGTACACAAATGAAGCTTCATCAGAATATTCTTTCAAAGTCAATGACTCCTGCAGCACCTCTATTTACCCAAATAATATCAAGAGTAAGTTCATTCCAAATACTATGTAGATGACAACAGAAACAATATGAAAGCAAGGATAAAGTGTTGATGAATGTCATTATTTCAACAGTGGTAATTTGGATTTTGAGAAAATGCTTCAATATACTGATTTTCTCACATCTTGAACACAATTTCTTGTCAATTAAGTTTATTGTTTTATCAAATTCAATTTAATTAGGCTATTACCTCTAGCCTCCAATTAATGCTCAATTACTAAATATACAGTTAAACACATTTGCTTAGTGGCACTATAATCATTAGACTATCTCAATGAATGCATCCATTCTATTATTAAACTCCACATTGTTGCTGTGAAAAGGTTCACTAAGTAACATTTATGCATGAGAAAAGTATTCAGGTAAAGAATGCTCAAATAGCCTAAACATATAATAAAAAGACAATACAGTGAAATTATGATAAAAAGACAATACAGTGAAATTATGATTACAATATTCGCTATCATTATTGGAATGCCTTAATGATAAATATGGTCTGAATGTATTGATCTAAATGATTTGTATTTACTTCAACAAGGTGTGGTACATGAACTAATTAGCACAATATGAAGAGAAAACAGGTAATCATCAGTCACAAAAGAATATGAAAGCAATCATAAAGATCTGGACACAATTCAAAGACTCACTAGCACCTACGTACTAAGTTGGAAATTGAAACAAAACCTAAAGTATAACATAAAAAAGACCACACACCGCTACCCAGACATGAATAAATGATCAAGTAAGAATTGAAAAGAACAAATAATAAAATCTCTTACCGTGAAAACAGATGCAGAATTTAAGAAATAGGTATGCCGCTTTGTTGGGATCGAATAATCACACACAGACACAATCACAATACAGAAAAAAGAGAAGGGAAGAAAAACAGAAACACAGATTTATCCTATTTCACCCAACGTGGAATACGTCCAGCAATGTTTCATTATATTTTCCTCACCACATTCATTACAAAACACTTTGTTTACAAGTGGAATAAAAATAGACTTAGAAACCAGTAGTTATTCATGAGCCCAAATCCAAACTACTAAAAAGAGAAAAATAAAATAAACTCGTGACTTGCAACTAACAAGTAATACTTATCAAGACATACATTGATATAAATACCATATCGAGACCTCTATTGGCTTTTTCTGTGTCCCGCAACCAAGAGTTGTCATCTGGATACGAAGTATGAGTCATACTCAACCCAATTACAAGTCAGTGGCATTTTCACCATAGAAATCATGCCACCCATGGAAAGAAGCTTGCAACTATATATACCAGAGCAGTAATTATCACGACAAACATTGTTATAAATACATCGTTCAACCATTACCAAAATTTATATGAAACTGTATATCAAAGATGCAGGTATACAGCATAGATCAGATAGCAGCAGGCATTGCTGAAGTTTAATAATCATATTGTGTGACAATTATGACCAACATCCATAAGAACAGTTAAGTAAAACTGAAGATAAAATGGTCATCCATAAGAACAGTTAAGTAAAACTGAAGATAAAATCAATGGCAAGAGCATACATAAAAGAATTTTAGGACACAAGTTCAAGAAAAATTCTTTAGAAGATAAAATTACAATATAGAACTTCCTTATTCAATATAAAAATAAAAATGCTTTGCATAACCAAAATTTAATTAACCTCTTTGTTGAAGTTACATGCTTCCAAATAGAATAGAAAATATACAGGTCAAAGTGCATTCATGTTTAATATCATATAAAAATAGCTAATTGCTTTTTTGATTGATGTGTCTTTAAACAATAATGTCACATAATATGTCAAAAGGATTCCTTTGAATTCTCCAGGGCCAACAGTCATAGAATAAGAAAGGTTCACGTGAATTTTCTTTCCAAAACTTAATTTTTATTTGAATTAAGAGTTCATGGGACTTAAAAATTAAAACCCACCTCTATGCTTCACATATAGGATGGACTGGATAGTAAAATTAGTTAACTTTTAATTCTTTTTTTTTTGGCAGCTTTCAATGCCTTAAAATTTTAATAGGTGCACATGTACATGTTTGTAAATAAAAATAAATCAGTATACAAAAGCCATACACAACATAAGATATTTATCTTCGAAAAAAGGGAAATATTAAACCTCTCCTACATCCATCAATTATTTGTTCCAACTAAATTATGATTTTGATTGTTATACAAGATAAATGATCACAACTTTCATCACCATATATTACTACTTTCAAGAGGCTACTTTGAATTACAAACCAAATTGAAATTCAAACAATAAAACCAGTCTTTTTTACCCTTACATTTTTGGCAAAGAGGTAGTTCTCTGAATTCAAACTCATGACCTCTCAATCATTAAGATACAAATTTATCATTAATCTAGGCTCGCTCTCTCTTTAAATTAAAATACAAATAACATCAACTATATCTTTATCCCAAACTAATTGGGGTCACTAGTAGATGAACCCAAATTTTAAATTAAAATACAAACAATAAATAAAAATAAATATCCATTTACAAAGTATATTGTATATAATAGTTGCTAATAGCATGAATTTTGAAGGAAAACAAAGAAAAAACAAGTCTTTAAGCCTTTCGATTTTGTTAATCTATGATTCAAGAAAACTACCAAAGCAAGTTACATGCTTAGGGGTACAAAAGCAAGTTATGCAATAAGAAAGATCCAATATATGCTTGTATCTGCATCAAACTTGAAGAAAAATAAGGCTAAAGCTAGCTCATAGAAAATACATCATTATCTGTTTTCATAATCAAATCCAGTAAATTATCTTATCCTAGATATTTATTTCAACATTAGATCACAGTATATATAAACCAAAAAATAAAAGAAAAAACTAATTATATTTGACCGTTCAATAAAATCTCTAAAGTATTACAAATTTGTAGTCTGAGTCTCAGCAAGCAACCCTACAGTTAGGTTGCTATATAGGGTTTTTAGTAATCCACCAAAACTTGTCAAATTAAAATACCCATTTGAAAAATATATAGGAATGTCCAAGAAACCAGAATCTAGATAAGTCACAGTATAAGGTGAGAGAACCACTTACCGAGTGAGTGAACATGGCGCGCATGCGCATCATATTTAAAATATGGAAGGCTATGAAATCAGAAAGAGTGGAAGACGATAATAATAGCTAAAGAATAGAGAGGGAGCAACAAAGAGAGCACAATTTGTTAGGACCATACTATATATATATATATTTATATATAATACATAACGTGAATGGTCCCATCCCATGTTAGGATACATATAAAACATATATATAAACAAAAAAAAATTGCCGCTTAAGATCTGCACAGTAATCAGGGCACCTTAAGTGCTATCAAAAGTCACACTAATACTTTTGGTTACGCTAATATTAAATTAAATTAAATTATGAGTAATGACTAGTATATAATTATAATAAAGCCAATATGAGCATACACATGTTCAACTAATAATAATAAGAGTGTTTTTTTTTTAAGTGAGCATATAAACCAAAGCAACAAAAGTCACAATTTTTTTTTTTCACTGTTAGATAGTGAGATATCCACATGTAACCTGCTTCAGTATGTGATGTTTCTCACGAGCTCCATCAAAATGTGTGTGAGAGAGAAAGAGAGAGGGGAGAGGATGGTTAGTGGATATGGTCCATGGAACAAGCAGAACCAGAGATTTTCCGGTACTGGAAGCTGACAGAAAGAGCAGTGAGCACACAAAAGCAATAGTACATAACTAATACCAAGTGCCTCTGTATGCTCACTCTCTTCTGTCAATTTCTATGTCCCAATAAAGAAATTAAAAGAAGCCAAATAAATACAAAAGCTTCCCAAATATGGAAACTCCCCCCCCCCCCAAAAAAAAAAAAAATCTAAAGGGAAAAACATCATAATCGAGGGCTCGTTTGTATTGCCTTCTCAATAAAGTCTTTTTTATTACATCCTTATTTTAAAAGTACTTTCTATAAAAGTTACAACTATTTAGATTTTTTAAAAAATATTTAATTTTTGAAAAAAATATTTGGCTTTTGACTTCTGCTTTTTGTTAAAGCTAAAATTTTTAGCTTCTGAAAAAAGTAATTTTTTGGCTTTTTTTATGACTTCTACTTTTTTTAGAAGCAGTCATCCAAACAGACTTTTTTAGAGAAGTGCTTTTTTTTCTTAAAAAAAGCAGCTTTTGAAGAAAAAAAAGCCTATCCAAACAGGATCTGAATCAGATATGGGGAAAAGAGATATAGCCATTAATGGAAAACATCATGAAATATAGTTAAAAAGAAAAAAAAAATTAGGATCTAAAATGAATATGTTCAAAGGTACAAAATTGTTTGAAAAATAATTTTAGGGTTTATTAGCAAGAACCGGAGTCCAAAAAATAAAAGGAAAATAAAAGAGTAAAAAGAGAACTAACCGAGAAGATGCATCATCAAGTGAGAAAAATTTTATGAAGGAAGAGGAAAAGATTATAAGAAAAAAGAAAAAGAAAACGAAAATATAGAAGAAAAAAAAAGGAGAATGAAAAAGACCATAAGCATAACCATAACGACAAACCCCAACCAGAGAATACACACTCTTCCCTCTCTCATCTTCTCTATCTGTCTCATCGAATCATTCATTGAATTTGGAAGGTGTTGGTCGCTCAGAGAGCCATCCTTTCATGCAATACACACAGATGACACGTAGCAAGCAAATCTATTTAGACTGATCTGAGGTGGGATGAGTAGAAAGAAATATCTGAATCAATTATTGTCTTTTGTGCAAACAAGGAAGCTGAGAGAGAGAGAGAGACTATGAAGCTTGAAAGTCTCTCTCTTAGGCCCTTGACCCATATGAGGATGAAGCAGCCTTTTGCAAGCAAGAGAGACTTAAACAGTGGTTAAATGTCACACTTGAGTGCCACTCTTAAATTGCACTTAAACATGAAATAGTAATAAATATAACTGCCTCTTATTATTTATTATTTAATTATAACTAGTTTGGTTATTTTTTAAGTAGATAATCTCTTTATTCTTTTTTTTTTTTTTTTGGAATAAATAATTTCATTTCTTGTATTTCGATATCCTTCACATAATATAATTATATAAAAACAAGACATGAGATTATTGTTTTACACTTATGACTTACCATCTAATTCTATCACGTATTCTTAATTATATAACTAGCACTTATTCAAATGATAAATAAATTATTCAAGTAATACTTTTTAATGAAAATAATAATATCAAAGTAAGTATTTATAAATTTTTCAAATATTTATAATAAATTAACAAGGATTAATACTTTTATTACAATATAAGATAAAATTATCTCTTGTATTTTTTAAATAACGTCTACTTTTGAATTTTAAAAAAATAATGAATATTTTAATATGATTTATAATACAATAGAAAAATAAATTTTAAAATACACACTATTTTTTTCTTCTCAAACCTTAAAATAACATCAAGGTTACATGAGATAAATTTATGGGCTTTCATTTCGTCCTGTTACTCAAAGAAATTTTTCTTCCTGCTACGAAAACAAAAACAGACAAGGAAAATAATATTAAAGAAAAAGGAAGATACACGTTGTTCAATAACTTTGCCTTGTCAATAGTGTTGCATAACAAGCAATTTTGTAACATGATTCTTATTTATCTCTAAATTTATATAATATTATTGGATAAACACTTTTTTCTATTGTAAACTTATTTTAATAAAAGACAATAAAGAGAACGGGTGCTAGATGATATGCGCATATAGTGGAGGCAGACAGAACAGCGACTAATCTGCTACGTTTTTTTGGTAATTTTTTACTTATTTGTCACATAAATAATAAAATTTTTCAGACTATCACTTATTGAAGTTTGTAAAGATTGGTAGTAAATTTAATGGCTAATAATTTTATAATATGTGACACATTTTTATAAAAAAAGTTGATTAGATGAACTTCACTAACGATGGTAACAAATTTGAACTCATAACAGTTAGTTTTCCCTCAAAAAATATACCACGTGTCATGAATCATTAGTCACTAAATTTACTATAAGTCATAACAAACTTGACAATTTGATAAATTTTACTAAATAAGTAAAAAATTGACAAAAACATAGACAATCTGATCACTGTTCCGGATACAGAGGGAGGGGATTCTGTGGGGAACAGTGATCAAAGTGTCACTGTTGTCCAAAAAAATTATC